TATATATATAATTTACTAGTATTTTTCTCTCTATATTTCATTGAAACCTCTGCTTATTTTTATTTTTGAGATCAAATGTTGACAAATTTTGTTTTCACTGTTCTTACTTATCAGTAATCAGCACAACAACATCTACCGATTTTCAGAAAGATGCCAATTCTGCGCTTAAGTTTATTAGTGGTCGCTGTTGCTTTCTTGTCACTGACCCAATGTGAATATCGTATGCTGTTAAGTCCTGTATACAACAATATAAAAGTATGCTCTTCAAAAAGACGCTTGTATTGAGTGCAGTAGAATGTTTGTGTGTATTTAGTTGAGAAACATGCAGTAAAGTTGAAAACTTTGATTACTTCAGCACCATACCGGTTATACTTTGCAAATAAGCATCGGCTCTCCGTCAAAAAATTTCAACGTCCTGCTTGATACTGTCACGTCTCTATTTTGGGTGGCTGGTACGCATTGCCAGTAAGTCGATGCTAACTCTACTTTTTTCACAGATTTTGTTCATCATGATTTGTTGGTTGGTAATGTAATCAGCATAAAATTGATTTACACCAATTTTGAGATCCGAATTTTGCAATGGAAAAGTACAATATCCGACACCAGCATCTAATGCGATCTCTGCGAGTCGGAGATATTGCTTTTATAGTAAATATAGGAGGGTTATGACATATGAATGGCATGACGACATCGTCGTATGTTTTTGCTTTTAAATTATGTAAATGTTTTTAACAATATTTGGTGCTAATAATAGCTAGTAAATTAATGAATGAGATGAAATGTTCTATGCTTTTTAAGCTTGAGCAGTATGATGGCTTAACGATGAAATTCGTAAATGCATCATTTGGAACACCTTTCTTCTTGGAGTGGCCTGAATGGAGAGAATACAACAAGATTGATGGAGTAATGGGCTTGGCATCTTTGAATATAGAAGATACTCTGAAAGATAGTCCGGTTATGCAAGTACTTCGGGACATTGTTCCAATTTTCACTATCGCATTGGCACCACTGGTAACAAATCATATTTTTTTGTAAATTGAGTTCAAAAACTAATTTTGAGGTCTAGAAAAAAACCGTAACTTTGATGAAAAATAATTGACCTTTTATTTCAGTCTTGAAAAATATAGAGCAAATGGATCAAAAGAATATGATTATTAGTACTTCTACATTAAACATATCATTCGCACTAATTTGGCTACTGATAAAACTTATAAAAATTGATCGTTTCATTCATATTACTTTGTTAAAACTTTGTAATGCGCAGTTGAAAATGATAACATAAGCATCTGATGATTACAGAATACCGAAATAGGACCGTCCATTACAATCAGTGCAGTGGATACTGTTTCATGTGACATAAGAAAACTGTCGTCAGAAAAGCTTATTTCTTTGGGAGCTCGTTATGATTTCAAATATCTGTCTATTTCCATGGGCAACGTATCATTTTCTTCCCCATCACGGAAAGCTTTCGCTTATCCACACATCATAAAGTCATACATTGGTGTTCCTGATGACTTCATGCAAGCAATTGTACAAAAGTATAATGCAAAGGTACAATTATTACTTATTTGTGCTCATAACTTTTTTAACGTAATGCCATATTGCAACAGTTTTGTCTGCAACAATGTTTGCTCTGTAATTACTGAGAATCTATGTTTCAAGATCGACCCGTCAACAGGCATATATTGGGTGGACTGCAATGCATCCTTTGATTCATTCACTCTGACTACAGTCAACAATACATACGTTCTTGAAGCAAAATATTTCATCATTAAGCATGATGTTAGTTAGCAATCAATATATATGGACAAAAATAAATAATTCTTCGATTTTTTTTACAAAATTATTACTTTTAAGTACAATTCTTGTTGATTCTTCCAGCTAATAACTAAGATTGATTTTCAGGCATCGAATGAGAAATGCGAGTTGGCTTTCAGAAACCGCAAGGGTTCAGTAGGACCTGTATCACTTGGAATTCCGTTCCTTCATAAATACTGTGCGGTTTTCAAACCCGCAGTGAAGACTATTGACTTCTATCCTCTGAAGAATAATTTCATCTATGAAATAAATAATTAAATGTCTTTTCAATTTTAGAAGTATTATATAATTGAAATTTTTAATAAATTACTCGCATCTTCATAAACAGCTTGTATTTCCTCCTTGTAATACAAAACTGAAAGGGAAATTATCGAAAATGCTATACAGTTTGCTAATTATGAATGCTAATGACACAGACAAGTTAGACGGGTATACCTAAAGAAAAAGGGGCAAAAAAACGTATGCTATTACTTACCGAACATTTCTTCCACAAACATTAAATAAATATTTGTGTGAAAATTAAGTAACAATGTGATGCTATCAACTAAACTAGTCGGGAAATTACTTCACAAAATTCAATTTGTTTAATGAATGAAACCTGAAATTTGCAATTTGGATTTGTTTAATGAATGGAACCTGAAATTTGCAATTTGGGGACTGTGAATTATGTAATGAGGATTCATAATGCGAGTAGAAACTTTAGAAATCCTGAACACACTTACTGAAACAGACAGAATATTGCAATCATAACCAAAGGTAACATCTAGTGCATCTGATGCAGTATATCCAATTTCTAACTCACTATTACATTGCACTGCATAATGCTCTATACTGAGTGCTTGCTGATAAAAAGTTTTCACAAAAACGTGAATTATCATTCATTCTCAAAGTCTAACAAAAGTTGATCAAAAATTTTCCTTCGATTTCCGCCATTCATTTCTAATTTCCCTGATTCTTATCAATAGATTTGCTTTTGGAACTTAATCCCAATTTTTTTTGACTGAAACAAGCATGATTGTTTTGTGTGCACATTACAGATCTGCAGTGCTTGAAATTGGTTTTCCCGTATTCTTATCTAAGTGCGTTGTATACGACACGTGCTTAGATTTGCTACTCTGAGTCTTCTGTATAATTTTGCATAATCGAAATACACAGTCTTTTTTCTGCATAATTAATGAGTATTATTTTACAATTAATGTTTTCAATGCAATAGTTTTTATCAATAACAACGAAAAAAACAAAAACAAAACATGAAAAATGTCAACGTTTTCTTAAATTAAAAAATATCCATGTATTTACGTTTGTTCGAAAAATGAACACTGCTTTAACAAACTGCATTATTTTCTAATTGTTATAAAAGCATAATAAATATTGCTTAAACTGATTAATGCAACAAAAGTAGCTATCACAGCTAATAATGATAAATGTTCGCCAAACATTTTTAGCGTTAACAGCAAGCATTTATCACGGAATTCTTGAGGTGCTTCTTCTTGAATACCACTGCAAATTTGCATAATTATGTTCAAAATGATAATACATAAAATAAATATTTTATTTAGAATTTTAATTAATCTTTTTTAGCAAATATTTTTGAAAAATAAAAATAGATCGAATAAAAATAATCAACCGAACAAAATAGCAAACAACATCACTTCCAGCACCGACAAATACTGCACTTATTTGTCTTAACAATAATTGTGCATGCAAACCTTAAATGATTTAATTATATTTGATTTACCTTAAATGATTATTGAAGGAGCGTTTATTTGTGCTCATTTTTGATTTGAATATTGCAAAAATACTGCATGTAAAAATTTCAAACAAAGTACATTTTAATATTAATTACAGTGATTTCTAGCACTTTTGAATATCTATTTCAGATTCCAATGAATTTAAGATAATCTTTAAGACTGATAATCAGTACACAAAAAACTGTGTTTAATTAAAGCATTAATAAGTGCTGGATGGATTCAAACCTGTAATTGCAGCGTACATAATTACCAATATTGCAATACAGCCATCGGTATATGCTATTCTCCAAACAGATACTTTTGAGAAAAAAATTTCTAACAGAAGGATCAGTTTGGGAACAAATATCATTAAACCAAATGCAATTGCTACCGGTGAATAAACAAAATAAATACACACAACCTATTTAATTCAGAACTTATCATTATTACTTGTACTGAAAATAACTAATTCGTTTTAAGTTATGTTGCACTCTTAATTTGAAATTATTGACTTAATTATGTGAAGTTAAAAAATTGTATGATGATGCGAAGAAAACTTTTAAAACAAAATATTTACATTTCAATTTTGCACAATTTTCACTATAAATTTTTATTAAAGTTATTTATATTCATATTTGATGATTATGATTGATTATTCATACTTAATGAATAAAAGTAACTTTAATAATACTCTACCATATTCATTTTTCTAGATTCGTTTTGATATTTTGAAAAAAAGATTAGATTAAAATTCCAAGTTTTGTTAAAAAAAACGCATAAATGAAAGTACGATATTGCTTCGTAATGTCAAATATGCCGTTTTGTTTCGAATTAATAATAATTTGAACTTGCTTGATTTTCAAACCATCCGATATCGCTTATAGTTAACTTTGCGTAACTATCAGGCCAAATGCGAATAATATGCGAAAAACGAACACTCATAAAAATGCCTACGTCTATTAAGCCACAAGCAAGAAGGATCTGTAAAATTTGTCAAATTAATAACACTTTAAAAGAAATAAACATAAAATTCAAACTTAATTACATTTCTTCCTTAATTCAAAGTAGTCTGTTCACTTCGAAAAACTGAAATCATATATATTAGTGAAATAATAGTTTTTTTTTCAAAATTACCGATTTTACAGCTTTCAAAAATAAAACCATGCTTGTTATACTGAAAAGAGATGATAATTAAGGGACTCCAGAATCATCAATCAACTTTCAAGGGCTTCAATGAATTCTAAAGATTAATCTTTCATGAAAACCGGCATTTTTTTTAATTTGCAAACTTTTTAACGAATTCAAACAAGCACATGAATAATTGCAATGAACATAAGTCCATCCCCACTTCTTTTGCGTTTCACAGCAGTCCTAGGTACTGTGTTCTTCTGATGTACACTCTGAAACCAAAGAATTCCGAAAATTTTCACTCGAATTGCTATTTCCAATCAAAAGCTTCTCAGTAATTTTCTTCGTTTTTTACAGATTCAGACGTATTATAACTAAAATATATGAAGTTAGCTGATTTACAAAAACTGACCTCTTCTAGTTGTGTTTCAGAAGTACTCGGAGCAGATGAGAATAGAGATGTTGTTGGATAATTACTTCCAAAAGATAATGGATTGAAAAGTGGGTCTATTCTATATGTTTGCGATTTTGCATAGGGTGAAGATGAAATAGAAAATTGATCTGTAGATTTTGTAGTTTGCACATTTCGCAGGGTAATATCAGCTTGAGATCCGTTTAAATACAATGAGTTTACTTGTGATAAATTAGAAATCTTGCCGCAAGTACTGGGCAAAATACTGTCAGACATGACCGCACCCTTGCGAAGTATCGCATCAAATTGATACATCGATAGTCATATTTTCAATTTGAAAT